TTTTTGGGGGGTTCACTTCTTGAACGGGCTGATTTACCTTCTCTTTGGACATTCTGTCTGCTAAACCAAAGCCTCCATCTCCAGTGACTGAGGAAAAAACACAAGACACATCTACTCAGCTCAGGCTGACAGAAATACTAGAGTGGATCTGGTTACAGGTAGACAGACCGTCCGGGCCTCCTCGACACCCACAGAGACTCCAGGACACGGCGGGGAAGTGGGCGGCGTGAGGCTACTTTTCCTTGTGTCTCCCATCCGGACTCAAGGACCGGTGCTAGCCCTCTGCTCTACGCCCCAAGGCAGGACCCCAAGCTCGGCACCCACCCTGCCACTCATACCCAAGAGCAGGAGGGCGTGGTTTCAGGGATTGAGAGGGTGCAGTTTCCCATCGCAGGCGGAGTGCCTCCTGGCCTCCACATTTGCCATAGGAACGAACCCGCCTCGCTCTTCCTCTTGGGGATCAGACGCTCGACTGGGGCGTGAGTAGAGGCCTAATAAACTACAGAGCACGTCCAGAGAACCTTCTTGATGCCTGGCGTCATCCTCGAGTTGCCCTTCCTCTCGGTAATTGGGAGAACCGATGGGGGTCTAACGCAAGGGGCGTGGCTCTTCAGCTGGAGGCCACAGGTACGGGGAGCAAGCCCTGGTCGCCACCGTGATTCCTGGCCTCGCCCTCATCTTGCCCTCTCCGTGATCCGACGGGCAGGGAGGACCTTCTGGAAGTCATGTAGCAGAGCTCTGCGCTTTCCGGGTCTGGTCATCTGATTTCTGTCACCTGTGGCCTCTAACAGTTATTTTGTTCATTCCTGTATGCCCGTGACCTGTGGAGGCAAACAAGTCGTGGTTGGAGGAAGTTATCTTACCATTATAATGGAGCTTGGGAGACACTGAAAACTCCTTGGGGATGCTTAGGAAGGGTCTTGAGATGCTTGTGAGGAGCACATTCCAACAGAGGAAGGGGCTTAGCTGCATGAAAAGCTGCGGGACCTGTAGCTGTAGCTAGGTAGGGGTGAGAGACGCAGAATGGCAGGAGAGAAAAGCTAGGACGGTGTCTTGGAGTGAGATTTTGGATCTATGATCCGGCCTGTGAATAGCCATTGCACTCCAGTCAGGGCAATGTGGCCAGATCAGTCTCTTTAAAAAAAAAAAAAAAAAAAAACGCTGGGCTTCGTGGCTCATGCCTGGAATCCTAGCACTCTGGGAGGCTGAGATGGGAGGCTCTCTTGAGCCCAGGAGTTTGAGGTTGATGTGAGCTAGGCTGATGTCACGGCACTCTAGCCTGGGCAACAGAGCGAGACTCTGTCTCAAAAATAATAATAATAAAAATAAATATATATATAAAAATAAACATATATGAACATATATATATGAACATGCTGATGTGATGCACCAAGGACACAGCATTTCTACCAAAAATTAATGATCTGAATTTAATCACGAGGAAAACTCCAACAAACCCATATTGTGACAGTCCACAAAACAAGCCTGTACTTGTAAAAAAAATGTCAGTATTGCCTGGGCGTGGTGGCTCATACCTGTAATCCTAGCATCTCTGAGGTCCAGGAGGAGGATTGGCTCAAGTCCAGGAGTTTGAGACCAGCCTGAGCAAGAGTGAGACCTGTCTCTACTAAAAAAATAGAAAAGAAATTAGTTGGACAACTAAAAAATATATAGAAAAGGTTAGCCTGGGCATATGGGTGCGCCATGCCTGGTCAGTCCCGCTACTCCAGGACTGGGCAGGAGGATCCACTTGAGCCCAGGAGTTTCGGTTGCTGTGAGCTAGGCTGGAACCACAGGCTCTGTGGCCCAGGCAACAGAGAAAGGCTCTGTTCTCAAAACAAAAAATGTTCAGTATCATAAAAAGGACCAGAAAAGCTTAGGAAAAACTGTTACAGATTAACAGGTTAAAATCTAAACTACCAGTTAAAAA